TAGAATAGAATAGAATAGAATAGAATAGAATAGAATAGAATAGAATAATAACTTTATTGTTACTTTGAATGTACACTAATCAGCATACATTAAAGTAAAATTTCATTGCATGCAGCTCTCAAAGGGTCACCACTTCTAACATACACTACATAATGTAACGGAATAAATAAATAAATATAAACAGAATTATGCATCTGACATTGAAAGCCAGGATTTGGCGTCCTGAGAGTTTTGCAAGACCGTGGCTAGCCCCTCTCAACTGGCTGGTCGTTCTTGGTGAGGGGCGGGGGGGCGGGGAATGGAAGCGAAGGGTGCTTACATGAACTTACTGAGTATTTGAGGTCTGATATATTGACGTCCACCCCGGTTGACTGTTTCAGATTCTCGTCGTGCAAAACCACCACTTGTTCATCCTTGGTCAAATGGCAGTCAAGTTCCAACATATCGGTGCCCACGTTGACGGCACTGAAAGAGAGAACCACCTTGAGTTTTTCCTTCTCAAGTTCAGACCGATCATGCACGGACATACAGAGGAGTTAAAAGAGAGTAACAGAATAATGGGATTTGGATGGGACCTTGGAGGTCTTCTAGTCCAACCCCCTGCTCAATGTTCTGACCCAAGCCTCGTTCAAACCAAATAAACACAAAGTACATATAAAAGCAAACCTTATTTAATGCGTCTCTGTGGATTCTGTTCATTCACAGCAAAGAGTCATTTAAAACTAACTGTCCCAGATAAGAGCAAGTTCTTTCAAGGTTATGAAAGGCTGCCAAGAACACAAGATTTATTGCAGGGAAATATCCAAAACCAAAAGTTTCCGAAAACAAACCAGAATAGACAGGACTTCCACAAGAACTTGGAGTTGAAAGAACTTCTGTCAGTCATTCCATCACTTTGTATATGTGATCTGCGCACCTAATTTCTCAGATTCGGAATAATGTCAGTCGGTGCTCCACTCAAAATCCAAGAAAGAAATACTTAGACTTCATAAATTAGAGAAAAGAATTCTTTTACTGAAAAATGAAGGGGTAGCATCAAATAGGATTCTGAATCTGAGAATTTAGGCGCGCAGATCACATATACAAAGTGATGGAATTGTTCCCACCCCCCATAGTTCAAAACATTCTTCCAAATAAAAGTTCTGAATATGATCATGTGGACATCTTCGGGTGGTGGTGAGGCCTCTGTCCGTTGACCTTGGCATATTTTGATAAAAGTTTGCAGCTGCGCAGAGAAAAGAAAGCTAAGCGAGAAATAGAAACCTAAAAGCAGGAATTTATACCCCCCCCCCACTCCTCATTTACACAACACAAGAATGTCTCTTCCCAGACAATATCCCCCCTCCACCCCCCGTTACTTATGGCAGCCAAAAGATGCAAAGCAGTAGTAGAAGATCTTGAAGGCTGACAACTTCTTTGCTTCCTGCAAAGAACCCAACGCATGAAGGCTGGCTTTTATCCCTTATGGGAGGGGCCATTACCTTGCAGCCTTACTCCCGAGTTGCCCATGCTGCAGCAGCTGCTCTTTCCTTCAAGCAGCCCTGGGCACACGGGCACTGGGCACAGATTCCTCGGGGTCCTCTGCATCACTGCCGCCAGACTCCACAAGCTCCGAAGGTAACACCCCCACTCTCTGATACTCCTGGCCCCATCCCTGCGTCCCATGCAAGCCCCTCATCCGAATCCTCGCTCTCAAGAGACCTCAGCCGTCCGCACCTGCTGCTGGCGAACCACAACACTCAAGCAGGAAACCCTGTAACATTTCACACAAATGGTTGCCAAGTCTCTTCTTAAAAACCTCAGGTATTGGAGCACCCAGAACCTCTGAAGTTAAGATGCCAAGGTCTGGCTTTTAATGGAGGCCGGGACAGGCTTGGAAGAAGATATCACCTGTTATCAGGCGATGCTCCAAAGATCTACGGATCGTGGGTAGGTGATCGGCTGGTCAGGGTTCAGGGCAGTTGTAGAGAGTAAAAAAGATTCCCTTGATGGAAATATGTCCTTTAAAGTGGGTGGACTTCAACTCCCAGAATTCCCCAGCCAGCATGCTTTAAGATGGGTGGACTTCAGCTCCCAGAATTCCCCAACCAGCTGAAGTATACTCATCTTAAAAATTTCCAACACCATCACCTTTACACACAAATGACAGCAATTATACATTGATATATGCATACTTAATTCTATTATTACCTTTTCCATTCCAAATTTTCAATAAGGAGAGAAACAAACACATTAATTCTAGCCTCTTTCATTAATCTCAATCGAAACATCTTTTTGTTTCAATTATTTCAAATATAATCCTTTAGTACCCTGTTTCTCCAACAATATGGCCTCCGCCAATAGGAAGTCCCAGCATGTTTTATAGGCATGAAATGAAATTAAGACTTTGGACGACTGCAATGAGCAGGCTCCGTGAAGCTTGTATGTTGAGGCCTACAGATGAAACTCGAAAAATTAGAGTATCGTGCAAAAATTCATTTTTTTCAGTAATGTAACTTAAAAGGTGAAACTAATATATGAGATAGACTCATTACATGCAAAGCAAGATAGTTCAAGCCGTGATTTGTCATAACTGCGATGATTATGGCTTACAGCTCATGAAAACCCCAAATCCACAATATCAGAAAATTAGAATATTATATGCAATCAATAAAACAAGGATTGTACATAGAACAATATTGGACCTCTGAAAAGTATAAGCATGCATATGTACTCAGTACTTGGTTTGGGCCCCTTTTGCAGCAATTACTGCCTCAATGCGGCGTGGCATGAAAGCTATCAGCCTGTGGCACTGCTGAGATGTTATGGAAGACCAGGATGCTTCAGTAGCGGCCTTCAGCTCTTCTGCATTGTTCGGTCTCATGTCTCTCATCTTTCTCTTGGCAATGCCCCAAAGATTCTCTATGGGGTTCAGGTCAGGCGAGTTTGCTGGCCAATCAAGCACAGTAATTGAACCAGGGTTTGGTGCTTTGGCAGTGTGGGCAGGTGCCAAGTCCTGCTGGAAAATGAAGTCAGCATCCCCATAAAGCTCGTCTGCGGAAGGAAGCATGAAGTGCTCCAAAATCTCCTGGTAGATGGCTGCATTGACCCTGAACTTAATGAAGCACAGTGGACCAACACCAGCAGATGACATGGCTCCCCCCAAATCAACACAGACTGTGGAAACTTCACACTGGACTTCAAGCATCTTGCAGTGTGTGCCTCTCCATTCTTCCTCCAGACTCTGGGTCCTTGTTTTCCAAATGAGATGCAAAAGTTGCTCTCATCAGAAAAGAGGACTTTGGACCACTGAGCAACAGACCAGTTCTGTTTTTCTTTAGCCCAGGTAAGACGCTTCTGACGTTGTTTGTTGTTCAGGAGTGGCTTGACAAGAGGAATACGACATTTGAAGCCCATGTCCAGGATCCGTCTGTGTGTGGTGGCTCTTGATGCACTGACTCCAGCCTCAGTCCACTCCTTGTGAAAGTCCCCAACACTTTTGAATGGCCTTTTCCTGACAATCCTCTCCAGGTCATCCCTGCTGCTTGTGCACCTTTTTCTTCCACACTTTTCCCTTCCACATAACTTTCTATTAATGTGCTTTGATACAGCACTTTGGGAACATCCAACTTCTTTTGCAAGTACCTTTTGAGGCTTTCCCTCCTTATGGAGGGTGTCAATGATGGTTTTCTGCACAATTGTCAGGTCAGCAATCTTTCCCATGATTGTGCTTCCTACTGAACCAGACTGAGAGACCATTTATAGGCTCAGGAACCCTTTGCAGGTGTTATGGCTTAATTAGCTGATTAGAGTGGGACACTTTGAGCCTAGAATATTGAACCTTTTCATAATATTCTAATTTTCTGAGATTGTGGATTTGGGGTTTTCATGAGCTGTAAGCCATAATCATCTCAATTATGACACATCACGGCTTGAACTATCTTGCTTTGCATGTAATAAGTCTATCTCATATATTAGTTTCACCTTTTAAGTTGCATTACTGAAATAACTGAACTTTTGCACAATATTCTAATTTTTCGAGTTTCACCGGTACATGAAGTTCAGTTGCTGTAGTTCTTATAACCTTTTATTTCTTCCACTTCAAGATGTTTGTACAATTTATGCCTTGGAAACAGGCTATTTTTTGGTTGGGAGCATCGCCCAAGAGGCTGCTAACAGCCCCTTGAGCCATCAACTCTTCCAGGTATGTCTCAAAGGTGCTTCTTCAGGAGGCAACTGGACTTTCTTGTTGTTGTTGTTTTTGTAGATGTTTTGCTTCTCATCCAATCCAGAATCCATCATTCTGAAGAATGATGCTTCTCATCATTCTTCACTTTTCTGACAGTAAAGTGAGGAATGGAAGGATTTATACTCCTTGCAGACAGCTGGTCATTTGCATCGTTTTAGAGGGTCGTTGAGGCCACTTGGAGGTTTGTCTGTGTCCTCAGGGCCACCTGAGTGGTGCTCCTAGTTCCTGTAGTCTGCATTTCCCCTCCCTTTCTCTGGAAATGCATTTTCTGGAAATCCAAAGGATGAACGCTCTTTGAATGGTACGGGAGTAGGAATGGATTTTCATAGGAAAAACTGCAGACTACAGGAACCATTTGCACTACTCAGGGGACCCTGAGGATAGAGATAAAACCTTCAAGTGGCCTCAATGACCCTCGAAAAGGATGCAAATGACTAGCTGTCTGCAAGGAGTATAAATCCCTCCATTCCCCACCATCCAGCCCGAGCTGAAGAAGCTTCTTGAATGGGAAGTGAAACGTCTTCAAAAGAAAAGAAAAAACAAGAAAATCCAGTTGGCCTCCTGAAAAAAGAACCTTTGGAACAACCATGACCGGGATGACGGAGAATCTCTACAGACTTCTTCCAGCTACGAGCTGAAGCTTGCAAAGTGGGAACTGGTCAAGCTCAGCCCGAAGAGGATTGCTCTGTAAACAATGCTGAAGGCTGAGAGAATAACCCAAAGTCCAGTGGCACAAGAGAGGAAGAACAGTTTTATCCAAGTACCTTTTCCAGACCTGATAACAATTTGGCGGATTATAGGTAATCCTCAATTTACGACCATAGATTAACAGAGGAGTTGAAGGGACCTTGTAGGTAACAGATAACAGATAATCAGAGTTGGAAGGGACCTTGTAGGTCATCTAGTCCGCCCTCCTGCCCAAATTGGAGACCCTACACCATTTCTAACAAATGGCAGTCCAATCTCTTCTCGAAAGTCTCAAGTGATGGTGCTCCCACAACTTTCAATTTGCCAGAGAGATCTTTGTGAAGCCATGCTAGTTTCTTCTTGGATTTCTTGTTTTTCTTTCTCAGTGGTATTGTGCTGGTCTGGGCTTCTATGATCATACTTTTTAGTTTCCCAAGATTCTTGAGTTGTTTTCCCCTTTAGGATTTTCATCCATGGAATCTTTCCCAAGTTCTCTCTGAGTTTATTGAAATCAGCTCTTTTAAAGTCCAAGACTCTGATGTCATTATGT